GAACGCACTGCCCTCCTCCCAGAATCCCATCTCCATCATTCGATAGCCTGTCGCCAATCGCTTGTCGACATTACCGTAATCGGTTTTGGGGGGAAAACGACCAGACAAAAAAAGTAATACCTACAATATTCATATTATTATGACAGCAAGGATATTTTGAATGCTGTCTGCAGAGGGCACAAATAAAAATATTGTATTTCAATTGTCAATTGAACTTAGTGCAGCCATCGAGAAATCCCAGACGCAAAAAAAATGCGAAAAATGTAATCAAATCATATAAAAAAGCCACGAAATGTTGAGAGCTGTAAACGAAACGAAACGAAACGTGATGACGATGACATCGTCTTTAACGATTTGCAGTTTATGTTGGTGGAGAAGGTGGAGGAGGAGGCGATCCATAAAGAACCTTTCCAAGCATACTTTCGGGCTGGGGTGACGGATCTCAACTAAATGCGTCTGCTATGTTGTCCCTGTGTGGTTGTTGCTGGGCTTGTGGCTTGTCAATGGTTATTGATTGTCTGGGTGTCATGTGTATGTAATCCAAACGGTAGAGAGAGATACAGAGAGAGGATGGCATGTAAAGCCGGGGCGGAAGCTTTTAAGACGTTTTTCCTGTGAAATGTGAGGCCGTTGAGCTGCTTGGCATTTGCATTACTCGTGCACTTTCGTTCACCCCACAACAAGGATGAAAATAAAAGATTTTCCCTCGCTCTGTACGAGTCGTCAAGAGGCGGTTGGGTGAGGGAAATCAGAGCAGCACACTCGTTTACAAGAAGAAAGTAAAACGCGTTTTCCAATATTCCAAAACACAAAAGCAGCTTGGCAAATCCTCAAGAGCTAAGCAGCATATCACAAAACGGCTCACAGAATGCTTTCTGCAGGAAATGTCTGACACTGCATCGGGAGCAGGGTCTGGCTGGAGCTGCGGAAAATCGTCGACAGTTGAACCTGGCAGCGAGGAGGGGGAAAACTTTGTCATAACTTTGCTGAATTAAATTTTGTCTAAAAGTCAACGCAACAATTCATATTCTTTGCTCATTGTTTCTGGCATTGATTGCACTTTCTGCATCAGTCTTTCGCTTTTGCTCAAGCTTAGAGGATTTGGAAATACTTTAGCGCCGATGAAGCAGTAAAACTTGAAGCAACTTTTAGACAACCCAAAAAGACTCTATCCTCTCTCGAATCGAATTTTCTTTAACCCAAAACGATTCATATTAAAGTTAATTCTCGCTCTCCATTTAAATGGCTGCTGCTGGAAATGTGATGCGTATCTCAATGCGCCCGCATGTCAATCACTGAGATTGAACAGCTCGCCCCCGAACAGCCCCCCAACTGCCACCAACTCCGCCAATCGCTCTATTGATAATGTGTGGAGAAAGGAAATGAAGCGGGTCTTGGCTTGGGCTTGGTTTGGTTTTGGTGGTTGGTGCGCTGGTGGTTGCTTTGCTGGATGCTAAGCAGCTGCACGTGACCCCCCAAGAGGGGCTGGGCCAACACTCCACACACATTCCCTTCTCCCCATGCGCGTTTGCCTTTGGTGCTTTATCTTTACGGCTCGAATCACACATGATAGAGCAAAACCGGAACCCGGACCAGACCGAGACGAGACCAGCACTCTGAGCCCCCTCTCCAGGTAAAAGTTTCTCACACTTAAAGTTGCCTCATTAGAAGTAAAGTGTTTGGCCAGCAACCACAGATAGATATTGTATCTGCGAATGTTTTCTGTGCGTGTCAATAGCTTTTTATGTGCAGAGTGCATGGTGCAGAAGGCGGCACACAATCAATGTTTAGGTGTTGCGAATTAGCACAAGTTTAATGAAGTATCCCCAGCCATACCATTCCATTCGATTCACACGATTGTCTGGCTTTGGAGAGCGGAGAGACAGAGCTGGGAGAGCTGTAAGGGCTTTGTTCCTGGCCCGCTAAGTAGCTGCTAACCCAGCGAGGCACTTTTCCCCTCTTGCCACCTAAGTGGATAATGCATTTCCTCGGCCAAAAAGGAAACAGCAATACTGCAGTTGCAAGTGGCAAAAGGCAAGAGACTCGAGAGCACAGCACTGCGCCCTGAGGGACTGGAGCTGGAACTATAGCTGGAGCCGAGCAAACGAGTCTCACGCACTCAGAGTGAATGGCAGACAAACTCACTTAGACACTCGGACTTGGGAAGACAATTGCCCAGGAGAGGCGACAAAGGTTATTACATTCAATTTGAAATGAGTATTTGAATGAGCCAAAATCATACTCGAACCGAGTGACATTTTTTTGTAATTAAAAATTTAAATTTAAGAATAAATTATTTATTTATTGCAACAGTTACAATGAATTTTTTACTTCAATTTAATTAAATATGTTATGTAAATATTTTATTTAATTTTTTAACTGAATTCCTTTTTGATAATTCATTTCTCAAGTCAAGTAATTATTTGAAAGTGTTTATTATTTTATTTTTTATTTAATTTTGTATATATTTTAAATAAAAAAACTTTTAAAATGTTATAAATATATTTGTTTATTTTGTTTATTGGTTGTAATTAGTTGGAGTTGGTAATTTGCCAGATCAACATCGACCACTGTGTCGCCTTGCTCCTAGCTGCCTCTGGATAGCACTGCTGGCATTGCTGGCAATACGCTTCGTTGCACACAACCCAGGCAGCAACAATAACGAAACACTTAATTCGTCTGTCGTCTAGCGACGTCATCAGCAACATTCCTCAGCTCTTCTCGGGAACACCTTACCGGCACTCGCCACCACCCGCACACAGCACACCCCGACCCACGACAGACACACATCGTTAGGAGCGTTGCACAAGCAGCACCCGCAAGGTATGCTCTATAAAATTTTACTTAAAATGCCACAGCACTGCCAGCGCTCGGCCACGCCCCCCACTCACTCTGCTTGCCTAGCCCAAAAGTTTTGCAACGAAAATTGCTATAGTCAGTAGTGGAGATGGGATAGAGTTGGGTTTAGTTTCGTTTCGTTTCGTTTCGTTTCTTCCATTGGCTTGGGCTTGGCTTTGCACTTGACTTATAAGCTGCCAGATATACGAGTATATATTGGAGGCGGGAGGCGGTGACACGCCCACAATACGTTTGCAATTTCCCACACATACGTGAGGTAATTTTAAATTGTTTTGGGGCAAGTTTCGATGTTGCCTTGAACGATGCTTTTCTTTGTAACTTTGGACAGCCCCAAAAACTATGCAACGGTTTCTGATTCGCCCCTCGCTTTGTCTCTTTGTTTCTCTCCCATTTACGCATTGGCGAGCAATGAGCGCAAATTAAGCGCAGCTGACGGAGAGGATAACAGAAAAATAACTAGAACGGATACAACCACAGACACAGAGCACACACAGAGAGCACACGGAGCAGACAGCTGTTGATGTCTCCCTGCCGTGGCTCTTTGTCGTTGTCGTTGTCGTTCTCGTTCTCGTTCTTGTCCTTGTCGTCTGCTGTTACGTCAGCTTGAAAATTAGTTGCTACTTATATGCTTCACTTAGTTTTTCTTAAGTAGCAGGGATCAGCTCTCATGTGTGTCTCATGGGTGTGTCAGCAGGTGTGTGTGCGTGCTGGAGATGGGCACGTGACTCACGGACACAAATGAAACTGAAAAGTTGATCCTGCAGTTGGCGCATCTCCAGGAGAGCAAGAGGAACAGCCACCCACTCCTGCTGGGGGATTATTTTCTTTCTCTGGCTGCATTTTGCACCCGAGCATTTTCTACTTAAAAGAGTCTGTCAACGTGATTGCATGTTAGCTCTGTTCTTCATCTCGCTGTGACTCCTGACTGCTGGATTTGGTGGCGTTTCAAGGGCTGCTTTGCGGCTGCAGCTGAACTTAAGACAGAGACTGTAGAAGAAGCCTTTGGTTAGACTTTAAGATGATTTTGCAAGCCTGCTAAAGAACAAAAGTTGAAGTTGTGCACCTAACGAGCTCCCCAATTAATCGCCTCTTCTGCAGAATACATTTCAGTTGTGTTTTAATTATTCAATTAGAGAAATGTGTAAGGAACGCATAAGCGAACGTGATGAATGCAACTGATACTGCACTCTCGTGCACGTATTCTGCATTTGCCTCACTTTGAGTTCATTAGTTTTGTGGCACGTCACTCGTTATTCTGTTTATTGAATTATGCGCAACACACGCCAACAGACAAGCACACAAACAGACCAACAAACAAATAACTGAATAAATTCCCCTTTCGCATTCAATTCCCCCTCCACTCTGTACACCTGCTTTGCTGTTCTCTGGTTTATAAAGCATACGCCCCGTGCAATGAGAGCCTTTTAAATGTAATTAAACCACTGCGCCGCAACGGTTGTCGAGGCAACATTTGGGTGGATAGGGGAAGGGGCATGGCAGGGTGGCACAGACTCGTATTTTCAGTAAGTTTCACCTTTGTTTTGTCAAATTTGCATTATTCCAATTGCAGAAACACTTTGTTTGGTTTGCGTACGAGTGTACCACCATGTAATGGGTGGGCAGACGCATACCCTCGAATATCCTCGGGGCCCTTCGGCGTTGAGTTTAATCCAATTACAAGGGGTTGCCGCTTCCACGTGGAGACTTTAGGGAGGCGCGTGTGGGCGTGGTCCACTAATTACATTAGCTAATGAATTGAAATAGAATTAAATATGTATTATTTATTTGCTTAGATTTTCACTTTGTTGCAATTCATTATTCTCATTGTGGCCAAAGCTCTGCAAATAATTATTTAATGGCCATTCACCGAAAATAGCAAAATGCAAACAAACACAAACCGGGCAAATGAAATCAAACCTGCCTAAATGCAGCATTTCGGCGAAATGTTCATTTTATTTATTAGTTTCCCCCCTCTTTGGGCATTTTGTGGGCATTCAATTCGCGCTCATTCTGCGGTTACCCAATGCATTGGGAATGTGCTCAATGCGTGCATGGATGAGGTCTTCCAATGGGAATCAACAAGCTTAGCCGCAAACTAAACACATTTAATGGGACAAACAGAAAGGAGTACTTTCACCCGATACTAATTATTGTGCTTTACTTGTAAACAAATTTAAACATACAACTACTTTTAATTTAGCTTAGAAGTTGGACCAGGAATCACTTTACATTTGTACAGGCTTAATCTTTGTTTCCTCTAGTGGATCGGCCTTTGTCTTTATCAGGTTTCGGAGACTCGTTTTTTGTGGCACGTTTCTGCTCTGGCCTGCTTTGAGTCTTTGGTGGATTAGTTTGTTGATTCTTTTCATTCTTTTTCTTCTTGGCAATGTCCAGCAGTACATCTTCCAGCGACGGCTGTGTCAGAGAGTAGTCTGCCAGCTTCCAGGGGCTGCGATTCCTCTCAATGTACGAGAAAACCCTAGACCATCGCAGCTTGTCCGTGGGTATGTGGTAAGTGAGCCTGCCACCAAACTCTTCCCTGAATGGGCAATCATTACGAGTGAGTGTGTTTGCTTGGTCTGAATGCAACTTACTCAAGCGATGACGTGGGATAGTCCGCTTCCATTTGACTCTTTACCTTCTGTACAGTGTGCACCATGCTGTAAGGGTGTGTTGGTGGAGAATGTTACCTCTATACGAGCACTGAGCACTCTGAAACTTAAGCGGCTCACCTTTCCGGACTCGTCTCCACGTGTAACTTGAGCACCAGGCACTGGGCAAACTTATTCTTGATGCGCTGCTGCGACCCCAGGCAATGTATTTGCCCGTCCGCCATAATAGCCAGTTGCGTGCATAGGGCCTCCACCTCCTCCATGCTATGAGAGGACAGCATCACCGCCTTACCCTCGTCCCGCAGTGAGGAGAGGACGTTCCACACATGACGCCGGGACGCCGGATCGACTCCAGAGCTGGGCTCGTCCAGACAAATGAGCGATAAGCCCTCGCTGGCCACCGCTGCGTTTAACTTCCTCTTGGTGCCGCCGCTGTAGTCCTTGACCTTGTGGTCCAAATGTACAAAAAAGCCAAAGTCGGAGGCCAACTTTTCAATGGCTTTCTTGAGGAGTTCCCGGCGTGTGCCACGTAGCAGAAGGAAGATCCTAAGTGTTTGACGGCCAGTGCAGAAGTCGAAGAGCGTGTCGTGCTGGGGGCAGTAGCCGATCTGCTTCCGCGCTGCCGTGGGACGCACCATAAGGCTGCAGCCACGCACGTGAATACTCCCAGTCGTCATGCCAATGTCGCCCACAATCATCTTAAAGGTAGTCGTTTTGCCTGCCCCATTGGCGCCCAGCAGGCCAAAGCACACGCCACTGCAGTATATTTAGTTATCGTTTTTGCACCGCTGCACTCGAATCACTACTCACGGTTTGACAGCAAATGATATTCCCCTTACGGCAGACATGAGTAAGTACCTTTTCGAGACTCGGTTCAGGACCAAAGCGTGCTTGTTGCGATCCTCGCCCGACATTTCCTTTATCCTTTCGGCCACAGCTGCCACATCTCCATCGTTGCTTTTTACATTTGGCCGGCAACAACGACATAAAATTTGTTTTATGCCATACCACAACATGGTTATGTACTCGGCAAATATCAGTATCAACATGTAGATAAAACCACAAATCAGCAGATACCTCACCTCCACCCAATCCAGAAGGTCTGTAAGAAATACCTATAGAGATGCTCTTATTTATGATACCTACTGAAAGATACGTACTAAGGGAAGAGCAAAAGTCTATCTGAAGGGTGAATCCGGGAGTACAGTACATCTTATAATTTTCTCTTAAGTCAGCAGACTGGCCCTTTTGAAACCTTGCAAAGCAGTTTGCAACAGCGAAATAGCCAGTAATCACAGGATAGAGGTAACATATGGCCATAAACTCTTTTTTAGCACCTATGGGAATCATTGGAAAGGTCAACGCTAAAAGGAAGCCCAAAAAAACACCTACAAAGTGAGAAAATAGTTTGGGGGTTAACTGAAAATGCTTCTCTGAGGACAAACGATCACAAATCCTACCGCATACAATGTTCAAGTTAATCATTATGACCACCGCCGTGCCGGAGTCCTTGAAAAGGCCTACCATCATATAGGTAAGTGGCAGAACCGCCACTCCAATGACCATGAGAATCAAAAGCATTTCCAAGGGATGGCATAGCTCGTGCACCGCCAGTAACAGTGCCAGCGAAAGCACAAAGTATAAAGCCAAGTCCGTGAGATAATGGGACAGCCAATAGGTGGCCATGTTCACTCCGGATACTTGTTGCTGCATCCGCGTTTGCGTCACCTTCTCCTGCGCTACTAACATACCGAACATCCCCAAGACAATGGCCAAATATAGCATAACACAAATGGCCATTATTAAAGACATCATACGTTCACGCTGTGAATTCTTCCCTTGATACGGGGCATTGGTTACCTCTATACTCGCGTTGGGGCCTACCATCGTTTTGGCCATGGCGTTGAATACAAGGTTGAGCGAAAGGGGAGCACTATGAAGAAAGACACGCATTCTAACCCAGGCGATTGTCTCTTGGTCGAAGGTAGCTGCTGCTATAAGACTGCGCTTCATTTCGTATATCCGTTCGGGAGTTTCTTGACCCTTCCCTATGTATTCTTCTATGTTCTGACTTGTTCTCTCAACGGAGCCGTATTGCTGGACCAACTCTTGGTATGCATTGGCCATATCCCGCGCAGGGCCCGTGTTCGATGTGGATTGCAATATTATCTTGACGTCATCGCTTTTATAGTCGGCCAATGTTATCGGCAGCCTCTTCAGCATCGAGCCCTCCGATGGCTCTCGAATCAGGACTATAATGGCGATTACTATGGGCAGCAGCAGCAAGGCCAGAAATATCCACTTCTTATCGTAGATGTAGAGCATCTTCTTCAGCAGCATGGCCTCCCACTGGCCCAGGTAGCGCAAGCAAAAGTTTTGATAGCGGTTCTGCTCCTGGTTTTGTCTCTGGCTCTGCTCATTCGATCCGCCGCCGCTGGTTCGACCCCCACTACCCCCTAGATCTTCCGCACCGTGCGACATAAATATGTCCGCCAGACTGGTGGAGCTAAGACCAAATCCCACCACATCCAGCTGCTCCTTCTGCTGCTCCAAGTCGTTGAAAAGTGACCCAAGGGATCCCATGACGCGATGCGGCAGTCTATAGGACACGTCAGATCCAATGTTACTATGAGGACGCGTGTTGGGCACGTGGGAGGCTATAAGTTGGGTCAACCTGGACACATTGCAGTTGGGGCCCTTCTCGCAGGTGAGCAGATAGCTGGTTTCGTTTTGCTTCTTGAGGAACGCCAATGTGCCCAGGCAACGGAGCCGGCCATCGCTTACGATGGCAATGCGGTCAGCCAATACCTCGCCCTCGTCCATTTGGTGTGTGGTGAGCAGAATGGTGCGGCCCTGCTTCTCATCCAGCAACAGCTTCCAGAGCTCATGCCGCGAGTTGGGGTCCAGGCCCGAGCTGGGCTCGTCGCAGAACAGAACCTTCACGTTGCCGCACAGGGCACAGGCCAGGGCTAGCCGTCGCTGGGTGCCACCAGAGAGGCTTTTGGCCGAGCTCCTGGCCTTCGCCTTTAGGCCAAGCTTCTGTATGTATTTGTCCACCTCCTGTTTGACCGCTGCCGCCTTAAGGCCTCTGAGGCGGCTGTAAAATTGAAGATGGCTTGCCACACTTAAGCCATCAAAGAAGATGTTTTTCTGCGGACAAATGCTGAGGGATCGACGGGCCTGGAGGCGATCGGTTTGTATGTCGTAGCCATTTATGATCGCAGTGCCGGAGCTGGGTTGAATGGTCCCCGTCAACATTTGTATGGTCGTGGTCTTGCCAGCTCCATTGTGGCCCAGGAGCACCATGATCTCGTTCTCAAACAAATCGAATGTCAGACCGGCGACCACCTGTCGCTTGCCAAAGCTTTTGCTGAGATTCTTGATTTGTACTCCAGAGGTCTTGCCTCTGGCGTTGGCATCCACGAACTTGGAGTGCTTTGGTGGCGAAGACCTATCCAAAGGTCGCTCCTCGTCGCTGGGTCGGACAGGAAACAGCCCGGGAGGGGATAGTACTCCGCGCATGTACTTGGCCGGACACCAGAAGCGCTTGGTGCACGGGAAGTACCAAGGCTGTGGAGTGCCAAACTCCCCTGGCCTCACCTGCTCCATGTACAGGCAGATGAGGATTGAGATCAGGCTGATCAGTAGCATGATCATTAATATCGCACCCACGCTAATGCTATCATGGAGCCAGGACGTCTTGAAGAGATTGCTCCACTGGAGGCCCAGACGTTCCTTCTCCCATATGACAATGCGATCCATGACCATGTTCATGGCTGACACAACAAAAATGCTGCACAGGATGTTCACCACTGTGCCAGTACTGTCTTTGTCTATGACAAAATTGGGCAAAGAGCTGGCCAGGAACAGGAGAACGGCAATGATGGCACACCAACCGCTGCGGGCGCAGAAGGAGCTGACCAGGAAGCCAAAGCAGATCAAACAGTGGCTGCACACAAGCAGATAGAAGAGAAAGACCGACCAGTCGGTGTGAGGGAGAACGGCCATATCGGCAAACGGGTTTCCCCCCCTAAAGGCAGGCATATTTATCGCCGTCCAAAGAATCGTAATAATCAACGAAACCATGAATAAAACTATCATGGACTTGACATACCAGGCCAGCCATTGGAGGTAGTTGCTTACGTCGAAGATGTTCAGCATTTCCTTCAGCTGGAGCTCTTTTTCCTGGACAATATCCTGCGATTCGCAACTGTTAGGGAAGTCATTGTAGTAGGAAGATCATAGTAGGCTTACCTTGACATCCATGGTGAACGGGCATAAAAAAACACATATTAAAAATATAACAAACATATCATCTAGTGACAAATTAATCTCTTCATATAGTTCTTTGAATTGCGTCCGGAAAACAGTTTGGGTCCCATTCTTCACCTGCAGATACCGTTGGCTGATTTGCGTCTGAAGAAGTAAAAACCCAGTTCTCCGATAATGCGTTTGTGTTCGGAATTGCGAAATCAAAATGTTCAAAAAAAAAGAATCTTCTTTGTCAACGGAAAACCGCAGAGCAAACCGGAATCTGTGCGGCAACTCGGTTATGTCGGACCACTCGTCGGGAAACTCTATACCAAAAGCACCCTCGTACGAAATATTTTTTGTAAGCGCTTCCTCCAAGGCCTTGCCATCGGCAAAATCCCGAAAATAGGTTGGATAGTCAAGTAGGGTCACCCCACTAAGAAACGTCTCAAGAATTTTATTCTGGGGCGAGTAACAGACGATAATTTCACTGCGTGTAGCAATCCATGAACACAATGTTAAATTATACTTTTAATTGTCTTCCAGATTTGTACTAGGCAAATAATACTTACCTTGAATTATGGGGGATGAAGGGGGAATCTTCTTCTCTGATGCTTGAAGCAAGGTTACTCGCGAAGCCCAAAAGGAGGGGTGCCAGCGCACTAAAAATAGATACTATTACCAAGCAAGCGAATTGGCATTTACGTCCCAGGAGCACACATAGATTTTTCCACAATATCAATAAAAACTTCTTTTGCCAGGACAAGACCACTGGCTCTTCCTTTTCATTTGCCATATTTATTATTTTCTATGTTCTGGAAGAAAGAATTACGGTAGTTATGATTTTAGGGAGTTACCGATCCAAGTTTTGTGTTTGGTTTGCACTGCGAGTGGAACTATCTTGACAGCTGAAACACTGAGCACTTGATGCTTTGGGTACGAGATATTCAAGTTTATCTTTTGTTTATGAATATTTCCTTTGACATATGTTTCAACTCATACTTCTCATACTTCTCACAGCTGACCACCTACCACTTATGCCATTCTGCAAACACTTACCCTTCGTTTGATAGGTTAAATGATAACCAATGCCAACCGGACACGTGAAATAAAATCTGCCCTAAATGATTTATTAGTTTTGCCCCAGATTTTGGATATTTAGTGGGCATTCAAAGCGCGCTTTTTGGGGTTGGCCAATGTGGGGCTTTAAATGTGAATCAACAAGTTTTGCGGCTGAACTAAATACATTTAGAGTAGTAATGAGAGTGTGTACGCAAATCGAAGAGAAATATTGGGCTTTGAAATGCAAAAATATTTTTAATAAAATTCGACTTTTAAATCTCAGGATAAATAGATTAATTAATAATTTCTTTTTCGACTTTTCCCGAGTTTTTAAAGTCAACATTTCGACAGTTCAACATGCCTGCTGTTGCGCGCTGATGTGCCAAAAATTCGTGCGCAAAAAGATCGTTTGGCGTTATCCATCTTACTCTTTGGTATCACTATCTCTCTCTCGCTCTTTTCACACACCAACACCAACCGTTTCATGTCGCTCGCCTCCGAACAGTGCACGAGAAAGATTGTGTAAGAAAATTGATCAATTCCTTCAGAGTATAACCAGATTATATTGAATAAAAAGCTAGCTCAAAGTTTAGGTTTCAGTTTTATTTTCACGGAGAGAACATCTTGGTAAAATGTAGGTTCCTTTATTCTCTACACCCGCCGTCGCAGTTGCATCCCGAAATATTGCATGGCCCTTGCATGACCATGCAGTATGGAGTGGTGCACTGCACCTGCCTTCTCAGCTGCATCTGGAATAGGATCCACTAACACGCGATCCATCCTTGCAACCCCCTGGCTTTGATGGGCAGCAGTAGGATGTCTCACTGCTAAGGAGAACCAAGACCAGGATGTGCCAGAGATGCGATTCGGGAAATTATATTATTGGACGGTAACATAATTTCCCGAATCGCATACGCCGATTCCAGCTATGAGCTAGTGCACGATGGGTGGGTACGGTGGACGGTGGGTAGCTTTAGACTATAATACAATTTCTCTGACCGTTTTATATGGCAATAAATTGAACCACTTGTTATGGTAATTATCTAATTCTGTATGCTATGCTTCTAATGTGATGTGTCCTTGAGACTAGACTAGATTTTACATGTGTGTGTGTACATATGCTCAATGTTGGATTTGATTCCAGTCCAGCGTCAAAATATTTATGGAAATATCGGGGTAAATCATTTGATTTGTTTCTCTGCAACTTCCGGCATTTGGATATTGATTTCAAGTCATTGTTATTAAGCGGCTTAGACTGTGGCTGCACCCCAATTGGCCTCAATCACATTATCCGCCATCACCGCAACATTTAAACTCCCTACCCCCTCTGTCACCGTTCCCGTTCCACAAACTGCAGCGATGTGGGATTTGGGTCAATGGTGGGTTGTGTGGTGAGGGCGAGGCTGGGGCCGAGGTGCTTTCATCATTCAACATTCGCCATGTAATGACTTTGGTCAACAGAACTCATCAAGGATATGTCAGCGTTGGCTCTTGGCTCTCTTGATTCTCTCTGAGACACGCCCCGACCCGCCCAGCCGTGCTTCAGCAGTGGGTTGCGGTTGAGGCTCAGCGGGCATGCAAAGCACTTAACTCGTTAGCGGTTAACGGTATATTGGTAAGCCAACAGCAGCGCGAACAATAATTAAACAACAACAGCAGCAGCAGCAGCAGGCACACGATAGCGTTAGGGACACCCAAGGACAGGGACCAACGCGTACATGACTTGTCAACGCAGAAAACACAAGGCTGTAGCCAGAGACGAGGCCAACACCAAAGCCCAGGTGAAGATGGCAATTTTGCAAATGATTGGGCTTGACTGATTGATTGATTCATGGACTGCAACATTCTGCCACAAATCCTGGCCAAATGCCGACTGGGAATCAACAACAGAAAGTAGTTTCAATTGAGTGCAATTAATGCGATTAACAAAAGGCCTCTAAACAAAAGAGAAAAGGGAAATACCAACATTGTCTGCAGTCGGTTGATTAAGGGATTAGCTGGGAACGGCTGGATAAATCAGAGCCGAGCCTCGTTCAGGGGTTGGCACATGGCCAGCAGCGCAATGAGCAATGAGAAGCCACATTAAACACAAAGGGAGTACATCGGGCATCAGGGACAGTCGCGGGGCCCATTCCACAACAAAATTAAATGAGCTAAGAGCAGCTGGCTAATAGACTCCAGCTCCTTGCCACTTAATGGGATATTAAGCTACAAAAAACAAAACAAACAAAAAAAACCTCTATGGCGACGGCAGGAAAAACTTGCCAGCCAATAGCACACATGACTCAACACACAAAATACGCCAAAAATACTAGAGCGAAGACCAGGAGCAGGACGGGGACCAGGACCCTGCCTGGACCTGGGACCTGGAACAGGAATAGGATACCCGGCATCCTCCGAAATAAAAATAACAAATATCCACAGTTAATTGAAATTCCTTAACTTTCTCAATTAAACTTTCGTGCAATGCTTTCAACTTTTGCGGGGGGGGGGGGGGGGGGGGGGGGGGGGGGGCGAGACAAGGGCGAGACTTGGCTCAGTCTTTCATTCACTCCCAAAAAAAAACAACAGCAAAAAACAGGATGAAGAGGAAGTTTCCTCCAGTCTCTCT